TTGGGATATGTTGTTTTTGTTTCAGTAAAGACAATGGATGTATAGTCACCCCGGTGGCAAAGCAGCGCGCTGGTGAGACCCATGTCCTGGGTACGAACCTGCGCGCTACTTTTGTTTTTTCACATTTTTCTTCTTTTCAGTTTTTTGACCTTTTTGCAGGATTGGGCTTCATGTGTGGGCTCCAGTTTTTTTTTTCTTTTCTAACTCTCACCATCAGTTTTACTACATTGCCTCCCATTGCTAACTCTTTCATATTTTTATTTTTATTTTTGTTTTATTTTCATATTTTGCATATTAAATATTTTCTTTAATATATAAAAATCCCAAAAATATAAATTAATAATATTGCACTTTTATTTTATTTCTCATATAAAAATATATTTTATTTTAATAGGATATCATTTATTTTCTCAATAAATTTGTAAATATAATTAAAACATATTTAATTTAATTTATTTTTCATTTCATACTTGTAAATAATTATTTTTGCATATATTTAATTTTATATTTATATACAATATTATTTATTATTTTTTATACAAAAAAATGCACAAAAAACAAACTTTATTTTCTCTTAATTTAAAATTAGGGTTAAACCCCTTTCAAAAAAATTAAATCTTTTTCTTTATATTTTTAGGTTTAGATTAAAATTTCTCCTACATAAAAATAAGACACAAAAATCTTTTCTTTACATGTACATTGCATTACATTTTAAATATTGTATTATATTCATCTTAATTCGCACAAATTCGATTTGGTTGTAATAATTTATTTAGTTTTATATTCTTGCAAATCCCCATTCAAACTTTTATTCCCCCCTCCCAGATTGTTGTAATAGCTTAGAACTATTTACATTACGCAATTTATCGCTTTATATACCATGATTAGTAATTAGGGTTTGTATGACAAGAACAAAACAAAGCAAAATGGAACACCTAAAATACAAGACAAAATCAAAGCATGAAAATGATATACTTTGCACACAAGCACCCTTAGGGTTTCTCCACTTGGTTGCCTAAAACAAAAATAGCCATGTTACGCATGCGAAGTATCTTGGAAAAAACAAACAAATATAAGATCATAGTCCCTCGATGACGCTATTCAAGGTTGCCTTACAAAATGATCTTGGTCCCTCAAAAATGCTAAGATACTTTGCAAACATTGCTAATCATGGTTATACGATGACCCACGCCCGTCCCGTTTACATCCAAAGATAGGGTTGCTTACCAAATCAACGGTAAGCCAACAATATCAAAGGAATAGAAAATGCATAAGAAAGACATTTGAGTAGGTAGATAGCCTCTAGTTACTTGCTCTATTTCAAACAACAATCCTTGCTATTTCAAAAAACACACACACATTTCAAAAACATCTTACAAACATTGAAAACATTTTCAAAAGACAAACATCTTTGTATACATTCTTACGAACGAGAATCATTACAAAGATTTCCTAAACGAATGGCCTCTTTTACAAAATACTTTCAAAACAACACCAAACACAATTTCAAACAAAAGCAAGTGATCTAAGCAAGTAACTAAGAGCCCATGGAAAACCATGGATGAAAAGGGTGCTAACACCTTCCCTTTTCATAATCTACCCCCCGAACTCAAGAAAACATCTCAAAGGTCTTTCCTGTGCTTTTTACCTTTCCTTTTGGATAAAAGAAAAGTCGGTGGCGACTCTTGCTAACGGCAACATTTGCGATAAAACGCAAAACCCTCAAGTCAGTTCTCCCACCGTATCACAGTCTTCAACCATACTTTCTTCTTGAGAGCTTCATAGGTTGACAACGCAACTTCCAGTTGATTCTTGGAGCACCAAGAAATAGGACTTTCCAAATACAAACAAAAATATCTAGAAGTATTTCTTATGTCAACTTTGTCTTCATATAAATCATAGTCCAAATAACATATCAGCTTTGAATCGGATTTAACACCAGAAGGGAACAACACTTTATAACTCAAAGTCCCTTTAGTATCTTGCAGCTTGTCAAATTCTCTAAATCTCCTTGATATTTTTCTGATTTGTCGTGGCCTCTGGACTTGTTCACAATCTCCTTTTGATTCTGAAACCGTATATCCTTTTGAAATTTCTTCAGAAGATTGACTACCATCAGAAGCTCTACATTTGTTAACTTCTAGACCTTGTCCAGAACCATTACCTTCAGAAATACCACCTTCAAAAGTTAGATCACCTTCAGAAGTTCTACCTTCAAAAGTTCCACCTTTAGAATCATGTCCTTCATTAGAGACTGGATTTCCTTCAAAAGCTTCTCCTTCATAAGGTCCATCTTTAGAATCATGATTTCCACTGGAAATATGATCATCTTCAGAAGATTGTCCTCCATAACCTACGTCTTCAGAGTTTTTCCTTCTAGAAGCATGATCACCACTAAATTCTGGATCATCATCAAAATCTGGATCAGAATCAGAATCACCATCTGACTCATCTTTAGAGTCTCTAGAAGATTCTTCATCTTCTGACTCTAGCTCTTCTTCAGAACTTTCAAGTTCTGACTCCTCTTTAGAATCAAAATCTTCTTCAAATTTTAACTCATCTTCTGATTATTCTTCAGACTCACAATTACCTTTCGATTCTGACTTGTCTTAAGCTTCAGAGTCATCCTCTAACTCTTACTCATCTTCAGAATCTCAAATCAAGACTCATCTTCAGAATCTTCAACGCCATCTTCTGATTCTGACTCTCAAACACTCCTTTAGATTCAGAATATTCAGAGTCATCTTCTTCCCCTTCAGAATCTGAAAATCACAGTCTCACAGGTTCCTCATCAGATTCATATGTCATTAATAGCACATGTCCATCATCTGAATCTCCTCTGGCTATTTTTGCTTCTTCTTTGTTTGACCAACAATCTTTAGTAAAGTTGTCAAACCTATTACAACAGTAACACTAAACCATTATCTTGTCATACTTCTCCTTTCCCTTCTGATGTTTCTTCTCATCAGAATAGAAGACTTCTGACTTTTGGGAACTACCATGTCTTTTCTGCTTCTAGTCCTGACAAAAGAAGCTTTTAGAGGCTGCTCAACTTCCCTCTCAAAAGTTATTTCAGTTCGATGCAACTCTTGGCCTCTAGATTGCTTTGCAGCTCTTCTATTCTTATGGTGTCCGGATCGTTAGAATGTTCCATTGCTACAATAATATAATAAATTGAGGAGTAAGCGACCTCAATATCTTCTCAATGATTACTTGTTCAGAAAGAGTTTCTCCACAAGCTTTCATCTCATTAGTAGTCAAAATCGCTCTAGAGATGTACTCATAAACCTTCTCGTTGTCCTTCATGTTGAGATTCTTATATTGCTTTTGTAGGGACTGAAGCTTCACATTCTTCATTGATGCGTCACCACCGTAACACCTACTCAGTGTGTCCTACGCAGCCTTCACCGTCGTCAAATCAACGATTTTCTCAAACATGTTCTCATCCACACACTGATGGATGAAGAACAACACCTTCTGGTCTTTCTTCCTTGTATCTCTCTGTGCATTTCTCTGTTCCTCCGTCGCATCTGCTGCAACTGAAACATAACCATTTATAACAAGCTCAAGAACATCCTGAGCGCCAAACAACACACGCATCTGAATCATCCAACGATTCCAGTATTTTCCAATAAATACTGGAAACTTGGTGCTTAGACTACCATTTCCGGTCATCTTCAACCTTGTACATAACACTCAGATCTAACATACACAATGTTTCTCAACCCCACGAAATGAGAAAATATGATTTTGTTCAAGATTCAACACGAATTCAAGAACCAACTGTTTCTGAATAACAATAGCTTCTGAATATGAATTACTTCGAACATGAAAAACAGAGCAAAATAATACTTATTCCTGTTTGTTTCTCTTTGGTGGGATGGCCAACTCATCTAAGTACCCATACTTCTTAAAGATTGGATACATCTCCGTGAAAAAGATTGTTGTTGTGTTTCATCTGAATCTCCTTTCGCCATGAGCCTCCTTATCCCATCTCATATTGCCTGCCGGAAGCACGCTTCTTGCCAACTAGGAGTGTTCGCGGTTCGGTTTGAATCGGTTTTAAGATAAAAAATCATCTGATCCAAAGATAAATTTACTTGCGGTTCGGTTCGGTTTTGGATGATATATTAAAAAAATCCAATCCGATCCTATCCAATTTTATGCGATTTAATTTGGATCGATTTTTGGATATCCAAATTACACATTATATTTTTATTAATATTATAAAACTACTAATAAATCATAGATTTGATATAATATATAACATATAGTATATTAAAAGTTAATATTACAAAATGAGAGTGGTTGATTATGATTGAAATAATAAAAATAAATAAATTATACCAAGCTAATAACTATTATTAAAAAAAATTATTATCATCTAATAATAATTTCACATAACATATTATACTAATAAAAAGTAAATAAGTATAAAAATATATGTATGCGGTTTGGTTTGGTTTGGATCGGTTTTGAAAAATTAATCCGAAATCCGATCCGAACTGATCGGTTTTCACAAAATAACATCCAAACACATCCAATAAATTTCGGTTTTTTGCGGTTTTCAGTTTTTTAGATCGGTTTTCAGTTTTTTATTTAAATTGATTTGGATTTGAACACCCCTATTGCCAACCCTTTTCCATCCTCTGCGTCTCTTCAGCCTCCATAGTTACTATGCTTGGAAACTTGATATGAGTACGTACGTATTAAATATATAGTATCCTAGAAGCTCAATTGTTGTTTATGATAAATTACACGAGATACTAGAGAAAGTAAAAATTATCAAGAAATTCTTGATATTTAAGAAAAGTTTGCATTCACAACTTTTTTTGCACGAACACAAGGTTTCCTTTTTCAGTCAGGTAATACATATACCATTTCAAACTTTCTAAGAATTTGTGATGTGTTGGGAATAATTAATTAGCAGCCTATAATATACAAAATATGGCTTAGGGGAACTATAACCTTGAGAATGTGAAGTTTCTCTTTTTTGTTTATTATGGTGGTTCATCTTGTACCTCGCCTTCAAATTCCTGAACTTCAAGGATTTCAACCCTACGGTTCAATTTCTTCTTTATCTTTATTGCAACATCTGCTGGTACAAATCTCCCACATACACACACTCTGCGTTGCTGCTTCTCTATCAAATGTGTTTCTATAACTTCAGTATCAAATAAGAAAAGGGCTGTTAATAACTTATATTAACTAATTATCAAGCTTTAGTTATGAGTTTAATTTCTACACATTTTGAGTTAAGTTGTCACGCCGTTTTAGTATAATGATAATCAACTTTCAAACATAATTTAAACAAGTTTCGGGGTTTTGCATGAATGAATAAGAAAAGTTTTTAAAATTATATCCTCTCTTTTTTTAAATTTGGGTAAAGTTAACATGTTTTCGAAAAAGACATGTTAAAAAATCTATTAATAGAAAATTTATAATTAAAAAATAAAATTAATTATATATTTGAAATAAATTTAATACACAATTTTTAACATAAATTTTTTACATTTAATTTTTAATATATATCCTTAAAATTCATGTTAACATTATGCCATTATCCTTTTAGAATAAATATCATTTAAATTTTTTTACATTAATTAAAAATCATAATAAAATTGTTAAAATAAACTACATTTTTATTAAATTAACTTGTATAAAATATTTTTTCCATGGAAAGCACATAAAAAAAAAATTTAGTTATTTATTTTCTATAAACAGAATTTAATTAGCAGTGATTTCCTAGATTCGTTATTAAAATATTCTACCTTTCATCCTCAGAATGATTCTCCTTAATTTTCTGCAACAAGCATTGCAGTCAACGTTGATTCTCATGATCATACAGCAGTACTGCAAATGTAAAAAGGGAACCAATATTTAATTTAATATCAATCACCAAATGAAATGATTTTCTTTTTGGGATAGAAAGTAAACTTGCCTTTTCGGAGATGGGGTTGGAATGGACGGAACCCAGGATTGGATCTATTTTAGATATAAGCCAAAAGGCAAAAGGAAAAGGAAAATGACTTTGTGGGGATTTGAGAATATGAATGTTGATGATCGTGGATCAACATGTATTTATAATTTTGTATTGCAAAACAATATATTTTGGAATCCAATTCTGCTTGGAGTTGGACTAGGCTAAGAGGTGATTTACCTCACCTTAACGCAACATTTACTTGAAAATAACATGGCAAGGGGAAGCATCTCTTCAAGCACATGATGTCCATTACCTAAAGCAACACTAGAAAGTCTCTTTTCCAATTTTATATAAATGGCTTGCGTCAACATAACTATTGTTGTATTCGTTGATATAAGTATTGTTTTATTGGTGCATTTTTCTAGCATAAAACTTTATAAGCTGTCAAATGGATCATTCGGTAAGGTCATCATGTAATTTATCACCTTAGAGCTCCTGAGTTGTGGCATTGGTTTCGTATAGTTAACAATATTTATACTTTATCACCATTGGACTAAACTTACGTAGCAGTGTCAAAATAAGAATTTTTTTTTTGAAATAATTAAGTATTAAAAATAAATTTCACAAATAATCATGTTTCAGAAAAAAATTACGCAAATAACCATGTTTCAGAAGACTCCCTAAGGAAGGAGTCATCTCACTTGCCGCCTCCACCTACTTTTTAAGGGGAGGCGCCATCTCACTTGGCGCCTAGGTGTTTAGGGATTGCCCTAAGCCAAGTGAGATGGCGCCTTAGTGCATTTGCTAGAGAAATTTTGCGTTTTTTTTCTTCAATGCGGTGCGTTACGTATTCGATATAGGATCAACAAAATTGACTTTTTATTTACAAAATATGATTACACACATAACTATTACATAAAAAACAGATTAATCAGTGGTCCCCCGAAACCCGATAATGACCCCCGGTTCCGTATCCCCGTCCTCGCCTTTCCCGTGCTGGGTTTCGTCGCGTTTCCTATTGTGGCAGGGTCGATGGCCCAGCGAAGTCAATGCGTTCCGGATCCATGAAATCAGTCAGATCTCCATACCTAGAAGATCCGCTTTGGTACAGTCGGTTACCCATACCCTCAAAGTTTGGTCGTGTTGGCGATGAGTGGGGTTCCATGGTTGGTCTGTAGCACTGCTCGTCTGAGTACGGGGGGTAGAAAGGAAATGGATCTTGTGGTGTTTGGTATTGAGGATGTTGGGTGGTTTGATGATATTGTGGTTGATGATAAGTTGGGTCGGTTGGTTCATAATATTCAGAAGATCCCAGATCAGGGCTAAGGTTGGAGGTTGAGGGTCCCATATTGGGATATGCAGAAGACTGAAATTGTGTGTGGGGTATGCAGGTGTGTTGGTATTGTGATTGAAATTGCAGTTGGGTGTGAGACATATGGAGGTATTGGTACTGAGGTGGTGATTATGGTTGATTGTGGGGCATGTGGGTGTAATTGTATTGTGGTGGTGACTGTGGTTGGGTGTTTGTGGTTCTGTTTCGTCTGGGGGGTTGGTGGGAGGTTGATGTGTGTTGGGTTTGTTGTTGGGGAAATGAGGGTTGTGCCCATTGTGTTTGTTGGTCAACCAAATACCTTGGATGAGACACGTGTATTTCAGGGGTACTAACCGATTTGTACCGAGATAAATATTGATCTGTGTGTCGCATATTACCATGGTTGAGGAAAACTGGGAATTGCAAGACATGTCGGTGACGCCTCTGCCACATCTTACACCATTTTGGAGCAAAGTCTTTCCAGTTGGTAAGACCCCATTGGGCGTCGACCCTTTTGAGATGCCACAGGGACAAACAAGTCGGATCGCTGGGTATATCTTGATGCATTCCAAACTGCATCTTCACACGGTCGCTGTGATGGATCTCCACAATATTGAACCGTATGATTGCAGTCTTTGCGCTCCAAATTGCTGCATCCTCGGGGTTTGGTTCATGGCCCAAATCCAAATATGGTCTCCAAACAAACTGCAGATAAAATTAAATCAGGTTAATGAAAATGTAATATATAAATAATTTAAAAGTAGAAAAGTTGAAAGGTACGACGTACATCATCCGGGCCAAGGTGATCCAATAGATTGCGGTATAGTGCGATATTGAATCTTAGATTCTTGCCGTAATCCATACCCCTCACGCAATACCTAAAGGAAATGAAATTTTTTTTATTTTTATCATATATTTGGTGAAGAGATGAATAGTAATAAATGATATAACTTGATGACTTACTTTGTTGCATATGGGAAAACGAATGTGTTGTTGTTGACGGGGTTTAGGGACTCCATCCTCCACCAACCTCAAGCTTGAAGTAAAAAAGTGCAGCCATAAAATGTACATTTTTCCTTGATTGCATTTTTACACAAGGAATTCTATAGGTGGGCTAAAACAGCAGAACCCCAACTATACTTCTAGTTTTTTCGAAGTCTCTAAGACCACCTCCAACGGTGGTTTTTCAGATTGGTTTGCCAGCTTGGCATTGAAATTGTCAACAAAAAAGTTGTTTCAGTTGGTGAACGGTACAAGTATAAGCAATGACTCTTCATATTTTTTTATTATTAAAATAATCAATTAGCCGTTGTGCAACGACTTTATTTTTTTATTTTTTTTAAAACTTTTTTTATTTATTATAAATATAGGTTTGTTGGAAAATTGTATACCAATCCTATTTTCTCTCACTTTTATTTACTCTTTAATTTCAAATTTCTCTCTCACAATTTCATCATTTTATTCATAAATTTTTAATTTTTTTCCAACAATTTCTTCTCATTATCATTTTATTTCAAATTTTCATCTTTTTATTTCAAATTACATTTGTTTAGGTAAAATGAATCCTAATCATTTTCATTATCAACAAGCTATGTTCAATTTCATGCAAAATTCTCAAAATCCTAATTCTCAAAATTCTCAAATTCCATCAGTACCACCAAACCCCGTCATATTTTTTCCGTCACCAAACAATCCAAATATGTATCAAAATCCTAATCCTCAAAATTCTCAAGTTCGGCCATTTTCTACTCAAGTTGGTGTTGAAAAAGAAGAAAGGGTTCTCGTTAAAAAAAAATCTCGAGAGCAATTTACAAGGGATGAGGATATATGTCTTATCCAATCATGGCTCAATGTTTCAAAGGATCCAATTGTGGGAGTTGATCAAAAAGCTGAGAGTTTTTGGCATAGAATCGCTGCAAATTATAACCAGTATCGCGGGCAATTGCGAGAAAAGTTAAGTGGTCAATTAAAATGTCGATGGCATCGAATAAATGCGTCGGTTCAAAAATTTGTTGGGTGTTATAGACAAGCTGTCAATGTAAAGAAAAGTGGGACATCGGAGAACGATATCATGGCTGTTGCACATGCTTTTTATGCTCAAGATCAAGATACAACATTCAATCTTGAGTATGCATGGCGATTGTTAAAAGATGAAGCTAAATGGGGCATCATCGGAGAATTGATTGGAAATTCTTCAAAAATGACACAGACTTCTGCTAGTGGGGCATCATCGGAGATCCCTGATACACCTTCAAGTTATGAGTTTAACTCATCATCACCAATGGAGCGTCCAATGGGACAAAAAGCAGCAAAAAGGAAGGGTAAGGCAAAGGAAATTTCAAATGCAACGCAAGATGCAAGGAATAAAAGAGCAGAAACAATGGAAAGACTTGCGCAAAGTAAGGAGGACTAGATAGAATTAAAGGTAATGCAAATCATGATGAAAGACACTTCTACTATGAACGAAAGTCAACGAGATATTCATGAAAAATATTGTAATAAAATGAAAAAAATATGGATTGTAGTTAGTACCACTTTAAATCATATGTAAAATGGTCATTAGTACCACTTTAATTTATCAAATCCTATGTAAAATGGTCATTAGTACCACTTTAAATCATAATAAATATTATGTTGTTCAAACTAGTCGTTATTCAAACTAGTCGTTATGAATAACTAGCCTTTATTCAAACCATTATATATACTACCACTTATGTCATTGTTTTCTCATTCTCTTCTTATTCCTCACTAAAATGGATTCAGACAATTCAGATAATTACGATCAAGAATTTTGGGAGTTGGTTGAAGAAGAATTTATGGACGACAGTGATGAAGAACAACATCTTCAAAATGAATGTCAATTTGGAAGTTCCTCTAGGCCAAAGAGAAGAACTACGGTAGATCGATGTCGTGAAGAAGGGCACAATCGGTTATTCAATGACTACTTCTCAGAAAATCCAGTATACACAAATGTACAATTCCGAAGAAGGTTCAGAATGAATAGGCATGTGTTTCTTCGAATTGTAGATGCCCTCGACAATCATGATGAATATTTCCAAATGAGGGTCGATGCAACTGGTAAGATGGGTCTTTCACCATTGCAGAAATGCACATCTGCTATTCGTATGTTGGCATATGGGTCTCCCGCTGACATTGTAGACGAATATGTTTGAATCGGTGAAAGTACCTCAATTGAGTGCTTAGAAAGATTCGTTAAGGGCGTGAATGTTGTATTTGGGGCTGAGTATTTGAGAAAGCCTAACAACACTGATATTGAACATCTTTTACAAATGGGTGAGTCACGTGGCTTTCCAGGTATGTTGGGTTCCATTGATTGTATGCACTGGGAATTAAAGAATTGTCCTGTTGCATGGAAAGGACAGTTTTTTCGAGGTGATCATGGTAAACCCACGATCATGCTTGAAGCAGTGGCATCACAAGACTTGTGGATTTGGCATGCATTTTTTGGTATTGCAGGTTCAAACAATGACATTAATGTGTTAAACCAATCCAATGTGTTTAACGATATTTTGGAAGGACGTGCTGCTAATGTGCAATATACAATCAATGGAACTCCTTATAATATGGGGTATTATTTAGCGGATAGAATATATCCTAAGTGGGCTACATTTGTCAAAACTATTTCGATGCCACAAGGAGAAAAGAGAAAACTATTTGCACAACACCAAGAATCAACTAGAAAGGATGTGGAACGGGCATTTGGAGTGCTTCAATCTCGTTTTGCAATAATACATGGTCCAGCGCGTGCTTGGCACATGGAAACCCTCAAGCATACCATATATGCTTGCATCATATTGCACAACATGATTGTCGAAGACGGACGACACACATATGGAGGTGATTTTGATTACTCTTACGATAATGTCGGTAACAACAACTCAACGACTGAAACATTTAACGGTCCTCATCCGAATCTTGCAACAAGACTACAAAGAAGAGCAACTCTTCGTGAAAAACAAGTTCATCGCCAACTTCAAGGAGATCTAGTCGAGCATATTTGGGAACGTTTTGGACATGAGGACGATGGAAATTAAATTT